CACCATAGTGGTGGGCTAGCTAAGTGAGTCCACACTGTGGTCAGTGAAACCCCCCCCCCACTAGCTGTGGGAACCGTGAAGGTGTGTGTGTGTGTGTGTGTGTTCTGTATTGTTGATTATTTTGCTACTTTCTAATTTGAAAGTTTCCTTGATCATTTAGAAAGGCGCTATATAAATATAAGCCATGGTGACGATGATGTTGAGGATGATAATTTGAAATATGTGACCATATAATGCAAATTTGAATGACACTCCACCAGTATCCCTCATGAACTGACCCTCCTGATCTAATTAACCATTGCTCCACCTGTTTTTCCCTGTTTTGTATTCTAATATTTTATACTAATCTTGTTTGCTATCCGGTGTCGACCAGAGGAGGATGGGTTCCCCTTCTGAGTCTTGGTTCCTCTCAGTGTTTCCTCCTCTTGCTCTTAGGGAGTTTTTCCTTGCCACTGTCGCCACTGGCGACGCTCATGGGGGCTCGGACACAGATTTTTCTGTAAAGCTGCTTTGTGACAACACCTGTTGTAAAAAGCGCTGTATAAATAAACTTTGACTTGACTTGACAGTACAGGATTAAACAGACATGAAACTCTCATCAAAACTGTTCTTATTTATCCAACTTTCAAACACTGGAGTAACACAGTACAATACATTTTTACTATTATTCTTATTATTAACTAAAAGGGGAAACTTCATGAATGAACTTTATGTTGGCTTGACAACGGTAAGGTTGTCAATGTATTTATCTAATTTATTGTTAGGCCATTGTTACGGCACACAAGGCAGGGGTCGGCAACATGCGGTTCCGGAGCCACATGCAGTTCCTTTATTGTCCTGTTGTGGCTCCACAGCACAACTAGATATTTAGGTAAAAACAAAATAATCCTCCTTTGCAGTAAAATAAAGTTTTTTAACAATAAATGGTCCTAAACCCTGGAGTTAATGTAGAACTGCTAATTCACCCTTTAGCCATGAAGATAGGTGCAGAGACACCTGCTCACCATACAACACAGACAACAACCTCACCTAGCTAGTAGCTAATGAAACAACAAAGAGAAAGATTTAAGGTGAACATCGATAATTTGGAGACAAATTATTTGCGTTTATAATCACTCCAGCTGATACGTTTAACCTGCAACGAGAAACTGTTAAACACTAAAACGTCGCCAAGCTGAAGTCGCTTCTCGCTCGCCTGCTTCTTGTTCGAATTTTCACGTTCTACCTTAAATGGTGCAACAGTCAGCTACATAGTTAGCTACATTCATTCAAGGTGGAGTGGGAAAATTCGAACAAGAAGCTGGCGAATGAGAAACTGGCCTTAGATTTGTAAAAAGTTGAACGCTGAGAGACATTTTACAAGAAACTGTTCTACTTTTGAGGAAAGGTTTCCTGCCGGAGATGCGAGAAAAGCAGCTATAGCTGAGCTAAAGTCTGTTTTCGTTTATACTTGTTATCCTATTCTACAGGGAGATTCACTTGAAAGAGGTCCCAAATATTCTGTAATATCTCTCGCTAGGACAAAACAATCTGAATGAAACAGCGTGCAATGAGCTCCTCAGTATATGGAGTTTAGAACAAGCCGGGATGCCCCTGCGTCAGAGAGATGAGGTACACGCTGTACAGCCGTCGCGACGTTTAACCTGCGGGTTCATACCTTCTGGATGCAGACCCCTGTACCCGTGTGTCTGCCAGAAAACGGAGATCACTTCCAGCATTGCATGTAATGAAATCGTTTACACATCAGTCAAGGTAAGTAGCGTATTTTTTTGGTTCAGATTGCTTCATCCTAACGGGAGTTACAACGGAATATTCGGGGCCTCTTTCGAGTGAATCTCCTTGTAGTACATTAGCACATACTGAGACATATTTACAGCCAAGATGGTGAAACATTAACTTACTTCAATAAAATGGACATGAAAAGTTGTGGCTCCCAAGGTGGTTAGATCTTTGTTGAAACTTGACAAAATGGCTCTTCTTGACATTCGGGGTTTACGACCCCTGTGCTAAGGTGTTGCTTGGCCATTACCTGTTATCCCAGGTGGCTGCGAATATGAAAGTAGACATGTCTGCTAGCAAGTGAGTCCATATGTAATATCTGAGGGGCCATGGGCGAGACGACTATTGTAACTAAGTACCGTTGTCCATAATAACTGATGTGACTGTGTGTGAGGTCAAGCAATATTTCCTGGGATGATGCACCGTCTTCCAAGAGTTCCTAATCAAGAGCCATATTCAGAACATCAAATGACACAGATGACCATGAATCTGGTTTATTACCCACACAAGTAAAAACAAACAGACAAATCAGGTTTAACCACTTGCAAATAGATGTTCTTTGCATAATTTAAGGCACATTACAAAATCCTTGCTCAGGACCAACAATAGGACAGAGAACGTGTACTGACATTGGTTCTGTATTCACATTGTGTGTAAGAAAGAAGTAATATTACTATGTTTGAGATTCAACAGCATGCCTACTCATTTAATACAGGATGTAACAGACTCAAATATGGATAATATAATCACCGGAAGTCTTTAGCCGATTATCCAAAAGATAAACCAAATTCTCAACTGTTTATATATTACATTATTTTTTCTGCATTAGGGGTCTCTCCCCACCACCGCCACAGATGGTGAAGGCTAATGTACCCTTCCTGTGCAAACGTGCCTTGCCACATTTGGAAAATACTGGCCACACTGAAGACTGAGCACTTGAGTCTTTCACAAGACCTGGTATCCGTCTCACGAAGCAGGATTTCTTCCCAAACCAGACAACTTCAAGCTAAATTTAATCTAATCTAATCCTGGATTGTGTGTTTCGCAGTGAGTGCGTTTATATGCACTTAATAATTCGATAACTGCAGAAAATCAGATTTTATCAGTAATCCAATCAACATGTTTACATGCACTTGAGTAATCAGATAATGGGGAAACTCTGGGTCTACATGAGTCAGGCGGTGATTGGATTTCTGCTTTACAATCAGCCAATAAACTCACAGAAAAAGATGTGACGCAAACGTAACGTAAAAGTCAAACTTCACGCCGCTTTTTTTTTAAACATCGAGCCGCTTTACCTGAAAATATGAACAAACATCATCTAGAAGATGAGGAATATTTAAATCCTTTATTTCGTCAAGCATGTATTTGGTTTCAGCATCGCTCCAAAAGTGTTTTGCTGTGCCTCGCGGCGACGCTGCTCGCTTATTTCCGGTACCGCCGTCTGTTTTCATACATGCACAGACTGAGAAATCCGAAAGAAATCAGAGTAAGAGTTCACATGCACTGAGAAATCTGATTACTGAGCTAAAATCCAGCCTCTTTATCGGATTTCTTAACCAGATTTCTAGACCTTACTCTGATCTAGGAAGTCAGAGTGTGCTGTTTACATTTGAATAATCAGATAACTGAAGAAATGCATTTATGATAAGATTATTGAGTGCATGTAAATGGATCACTTTCTACCAGGATACATCACCACAGCAACATATGCTGCACTCCTAACTTGCTCCAGGGCCGGTTGCGGTCAAGATTTCAGATCACAAATAGCTCTTGGACCAATCAGGGACAGCCTTTTGGCGGAGGTGGACCCCCTGCCCACTTTGTGACTTGGAAAATATTGCTTTCATGTTTCATGCGATTGGCTGTTTGACATAAACAACATACTTTCTTGTGCACAAGCACCAAAGTTCTTAAATGTCTTGACTGTGTTTGTTAGGTGTTGCGAAACTTAGTAACCCTGTCCGAGGTGAACGTGCTTCGTGAGACAGACCCCAGGCAGACGTGGTTATGTGCTTTTACTGGGGCATGATTTAAATTAGCCATTTAAAATTTAGTTCAAATACATGCCTTTTAAACAAGCATGAAAGGAATGATACGTGGCTAAGCAGTAGTTAAGCAGTACTAACCATATAAAAATATCCTGAGTCAATAACACCTGAGTCTAACTTGCACAAACATGCAACCTCCTGCTATACAACAAAGGCATGACGGGTTTTGGAAATGACATGAAGTCCCTCACAGCTTCAGCGAACCACAGAATGTTTAAAAAAAAAGACACTTAATAAAATTGGTATTCAGCCATTACAGCAGGAAAAAACGCATGGAGCCGATTCACTGGCTTACAGTCGTCTAGAAATAAAATGATGCCCTTTTGAAATTTCCATGGCCAGCATTACAAAATACATCCCTTTATATACAGCTAAGACATAATGATAGATGTGCCTCATGTTCAAATGAATTGCCACGCACCCTACAAGACCTGCAGAGTATAAGAATATGTTCATATACAGCATTGAAAAACAATAAACAGGTTTAAGCTTAAAACCATGTCCAGTTGGAATGCAGTCTCAGCACCAAGACATCTCAAAGCTTTTACTGTAGAAGTGAATGTGTTGGTGTTTACAGTTGGTTGCTCAGATAGTCCATCATGCAAATAAGGCCCTGTATCAAGCAGCATTACCTAGCAAATAAGGATGCACCAATATGGGAACTGTGGGCAGATATCTGATATTTTTAGGGACGAAAGATATCAATCATATCAGTATCGGCAGATGATTACTTTAAAAAAAATATCAGCCTCTGACAGATGTTTCGATTTGACCGCTCTTTGGATCTGATCATTGATGTGTTTATTGAATCCAGAAGAGCAGAATGTTTAGGTGATGCTGAGTAAAATATCTGCATTTTACTTGTTTTACTGCATTTGTAACACTACAGAAATATATGTACGCAGATTCATAGACAAATTTCCACTTATCATCACTCATTTTCCATTTACAGTCCAGTTTACTTATTTTTCCTTCCTTCCTTTCTTTAGTTATACTCTGTAAATTAGTTCAGTAAATAATTTTAATCTAGCACAGCATCAGCAACAATATTTTCTATAAAATCATTTTATATTAGGCCTAGTCATTATTCTTTTTTTCTCTCAGTTGTTTGTAATGTTTGTCTAAAGTTTATTTTCCAAAATAAAAGTCTCTGTGCATTTAAAATCTGTTTGAGAAGAAAAAAATAGTTAGAGCTTGTATGCAGGACAGTAATCTGGGTGGTCTGAGGGTGGACAAGCAGTGGCAACCAGTCAGTGGGGTGCCGACCTTATTAAGCTAGTGATTCTGATATGATTAGTATTTGCTGCAATAAGAAGTAACCACTAGTTACACAAACAGTGAAACTGTGCTTTACTGAATGCCCAGGTGCATGAAATGTTTGCTCACCGAACACGGCCCGAGTTCAGAGCTCCAGTGATCCAACATTGTTAATCATGTGTGCGCTGGAAAATCTGCTGAAGTGGAATAATTCAGCATCTTTAGATGATACTGGACAGGATAACAGTTCGATATTCTAAGTCTAGAACAGAGGTCTTCAACCTCTTCCAGCTCATAGACTCCACCTGAATAGAGAGAAGTCGACTGAAAGATGCTGAAGTGATGCATGTTAGACTCGAGGCTTTTCAGAATATTTGAATGAAGAGTGAAAGGAGTTGAAAAAGCTTTCTGAGGAAAACAGAAAAATCATGAGGTAAGCTTTAAAACATGCACCGCTGCTCTTTCTGAATGGGCTTTTTGGCGATGACAGGTGTTGCCAGTCCTCATGGTTTTCAACAGACGCTAGTTTAACGGTTTTTAACTGAACTGCACTTTCGTATAAGGCGTTCACTGCAGAAACACGTCCTGCAGACTTCCAGCAGGCACAGGAATCAAGTCAGATTGTGTCTCAGCTGAGTTTGTTTCATTTGACAGCGTGTCAGAAATGTGACAAAAGCAGCGTTTAAAAACACCAAACGTGCAACTTTCCTCACTTCCCTCCAGCTTTACTTTTTCTTTTGAAAATTCTGGATAATCCAATCATTGAGATGTGAGAAGAATGGTTTGATGTGAATTGTTTCATTGAAGAGACTCAGATTTCTTTACAGTGGTGGTGATGGGAACCAGGGGTCACCATGACTACAACACAAATATAGACATTTTATTTATTATCCAAAACCACCAGAGAACCTACACGAGTCTTCTGAGTTTTATATGTATGATGATGAAACAGTGGTAGATCTGTTTTAGTTTTAGAAAGTTTTTGTAGCTGGTACTTTACAGCAACTTATCTGTTGTAAATATATATTATATTATAAATATATATTAAAAAAATAAGTTTGCAAAACTATCAAAAAATGGTATCTCAGACATCAGGCAACATATGAGTAACCACTGCAGTTAGTAACTTTCCCAGAGGGAACTTTTAGAGGCATTACATGCTTCAGACATCACTGCTATGAACAATTCTGACTCTAAAAGTTTCTCTAGAACAGAGCATTTTCACATCAAACCACTCTGAAATACTTTAAAAGCTGTTCTTAATTAAAATAATGTTATATTACTCAAATGATTAGTTTCCAAATGATTAGATTGGACTGGGGATAAAAAAAACACCCTTGAAGTACCAGATGAGAGCCTTGAACCCTGATTGAAGACCTCTGCTTTAGAAGATTGCTAATTAGAATATGCAAATCATTTAATTATGTTTTTATGACCACAAAACTTTGTAAAATCTCTGCAGAACACTGAAGCTACACCAAACTGCATACAAAACTGGCGCATACATACTCAAGTAGCATATTTAAAAAAACAGAACAAACGAAAAAACGAAAGCACTGAGCAACATGAAAAGGTGTAAACATATAAAGACAGTGTACGACAGAAAATGTTGTTCCCTGGCTTTTTGAGTCCAACAGTACCACCAGTCTAGTACCAACAGCAGTGGAGACACAGCATCAGAGATAAAAATACCAAAAAAACAATAAAAATAAAATAAAATAAAATAAATGCACAGCAAGAACCTTATAAGTTAGGCAAAAATATCATGCAGGGCAGCATGGAGTGGTTCCGTGAACTTTCACATGTACCTTCATCGGTAACTGACAGTGTCCTCCTAAACAGAATGAGATCAGCCAGCTCAGAAGTTTTGCTGGCGACGCTTCTTGGCCTCAATGGCATCAAGAATGGGCTGGCGTTTGGCCTGGTAGCGCTGGCGGATCTCCTCAATCTCCTGCTCCATCTGAGGGTCCAGAGAGGCCAAACGCCTCCTCAGCTCCTCCACACCCCAGGAACGTATCTGCAAAGATGAATGGATGGATGGGAGGATTGGGGAAGTACAATACTGCACAAAAATTTAGAAAGTGAAAAATACTTAATGCTAAAGTGAGCGCGAGGTAAACCACTGCAGTAATAAATAAATCCAAAGGCCAAATGCATGCAGAGACATGAAACGCAGACCTCAGACATTTTCAGCACAAAGACCTTCCTTGTGAATCCCAGAAGACTTCTTAGTGGCCTTTACGAGCATTCTGCCACTATTTACTGCAGCAATCAATGAGATAAAAATAACGAGCGTCTCCATTCCGAGACGAGAGTCATCTCATCGGCTAGACCGGGCCCAAGATTAAACTGTCATGCTCGAAGGACTAAGGGGGCAAGCAGTGCTGTGGAGATGCTTCTTCTCAGAGGGCTCGAGTTCAAAGGAGTCAAACGTCTCAACAGACTTCTCAACTACACTGTAACCTCTCAAACAGTAAGACATGACATTTAACACAATATATTGTACCAATGTGATCAGTGAACAGTCCTGAACGTAAGATACTTCTTTTTGAAGGAGAGGTCCGTGCTTAGTCATTGAGAACCAGGGTTTCGTGCTATGTTGCACACTTTGGAGCCGAGATACAGCGTCCCATCTCGAAGATGTTTTACTAACACGGCGATCCCCCCCACTCTCTACAACCAGACCAAAACCGAAGTTATGGAATCACTGAAGAGAACTAGTAGGATTGCTGTAACATGCTGCGTACACGTCCACTGCCACTGAATCTTATGTCACCGTAACTGCGTGTTTTATCACAGATGAGTGGCAGCAGCGTCTCGTGTGCGCCAAACAAGAGCAGTGAATGAGAGCTTTCCAGTTCACTTGCCACATCACTTCTGTTTGATTTATTAATAGGATATATTGGACGTAAATTCATTATAGATCATTACAAATACTTTGCTTTAAAAGTCATCACACAGTGAGGAAAAAGAAATCCTGTATAGAAAAAAAAGATGCATCAAGATTTATTGATAATACTATCATAATCGCATCGCAGCCCTCGTAATCGTAATGAAAACGAATCGTCAGGTGCCTAGAGATTCCCACCCCTAGTGTATTCCTCCGGATTATCATTACAAACAAAGAGAACATTTATTTGTAGAGGGTTACAAATGCAGTAAAAATGAATAAAATGCAGACATTTTAACACCCAAACACTGCTTTACTATAAACATCATTAAAAATAATTTTAAAATATCAGTAAAATCTGTCCGACGCTTACAAATATATTACATACCTTTTTAAAGCAAATATCTGCCGATACCATTCTGCATCCCTATGTATAAGATTATGATAATGATATTACCTATTAATCTAGCAGGAACTAGTCTTCAGACCAAACCAGGACCAAATGAGCCATCACTCCTCATTGGTCTAAGAGGTTGCAGTCTGCACACATCTGAACATGACAGTTCTTTTTCTAGACACTCTAAATCCAGCTGTCAGCTCGGGAATGTTGACGTTTGCCTAAGTTTGTTTGGACAGTGTGGACGGGCCTTAAAGACGACAGGGGGATAAAATCAGGACATTTTCTGCTCCAGAAACTGCGGTACCACCTTCTGTGCTTCCCTCCTCGTGGTAAAGTGTGAGGAGCCAAAAAAGGACTTCACAGCTGCACGGTGTGGCATGAGCACATTAAGTGCTGACAACCCAGCATGCCTACAGGAAGCGTGACGTCATTATTGACGATGACAGACTGCCATAAGCAAGCAGGCCTAAGTGTATAATAGACGTGAGCTGGCATGTCTGGAGCTCTGTTGACAGACACGTTATGTAAGACAGTGTGCAGCGACTTCCTAACAGGAGGGACAGTTTGTTGTCTTACAGGCTTGTGTCTTTTTGAATGAAGCTTAGATGCTGCTGCTGATGACTGGATCCTAAATGCATCCCTTTTTGGTGATTAAATATTTGTTTACATATAAATTATCCAAATGAAACAAGCTGGCTATTGGCCACTGGCATCAATGCATCCAGACAGACGATCTGCCCGTTTTAAGAAAAATCTATAATAGCATTAGAACAAAAGCTGTAGATGTTACCAGCTCAATACTGCCAATATTTTCTTGGCCCGCCAACCAGACTCGTATTCATTCAAAATAAGATTTAATAAGGCTGCAGTGAATTAGTGGTCATCTGATGTAGTGGCTATAAGTGAATCCAAGCGCTTGGCAAAAAGACATTCACTGGGATAATAAAAGCCAATTCCAAAAAAGCTGGAACGATAGGTAAAATGAGGCTCGCCACTACGTCAAAAATGCATCAGCAAAGAATTCAACAGTTTAAAAATTTCTTTCACAAACTGTTGTCAATAAACTACATCAAAACGTTGATGCGTTCACAACAGGGGTGGGCAATATGGCAAAAATATTATGTTACAATACTTCGAGCCATTTTTATGATACACCACATGCATAACAACATTTAACTTTTATGAGATTTAAAAAATTGGAACAAAACAGAACATGTGCTGCAATAATAATAATAACAATAATAATAATAATAGTAATAATAATAATAATAAATAAACATCCTATAATTTTATTGTCTTTTACAAAATGCACTGCACTACATCCAATTAAATGTGTTCTTTAAGTAGTGACGATATCCAAGATATGCTCAGAAAAGCGTATTGACATAATTTATCACAATAATGATAAAATACTGCCTACACCTAATCCACAAATGCATGTCAAGGCTGTACTGTGCACAGTGTAAGTCAGATGTCAACAACATCCAGAAATGCTGACAACTTCTCTGGGCTCAAGCTCATCTGAAATGGACTGATGCACAAAATAATTAGCCACAATTTGCATCCCTAAACACAATATTTCAGTTATATATATTTCTACTTGAGTACAAAAGTATGTTTTCTATTAAATAGAGCTAAATATTTATGTCTGCAGCTCGTTTTGTCCACTTACAGAACTTATAGAAATATACTAGTTCAATACCACTTTGATGCGGTATCCGGAAGAGGGTGTGTTTAGGGCATTTTCACACTTGAACTTTTTTCCTGGCCCGTTTGTCCAGAGAAATTGGCGAGTTTAGTCAAGTCTGAAAGCTGTTTTAGTTAATTTTGGTTTTAGTTCATTTTGTTGTGCTAGTCCCTGTTTCGGGTTTTGTGATGCAGGGCATGGAGATGGACGAGGTTCACTGAGATAACTGCAAAAATTGCATTTGTGCCGTTTTTCACAGTAAAAATCTTGCAGCTTCTTTCATAAGAAAATGCTACAGATCCGATAACCGCTACCCATCACTGAGTGTCAGTAGAAACAGGAACCAAACGAACATGGCAATAATAGTTATGAGCTTATGGTAAATTAAAATTCATCCGTTGTCTAAAACAGTAGAGATGAACTTAGCTACCATTCTCCAAAACTGTGTGCTCAAAGGCGACACAAGGAATTGTGCATTTGATTCAGAAGAAATTCTTCTGTGTGAAAACAAATCTGCAATGACAAGCCCAGAATCAGTCCTGGGTGCAGTCTCAAGTATTCAGGACAAGTGTGAAAACGCTCTTCGTGTTGCCTTGTATACTCTGTTTTTTTTAGTTGTATGCTTGGGAAATGTGAGACACTGATTGGAAAGCACATGAACATACACACCAGTACATAAAACCACAAATATGAACCATTGTATAGCGGTTTGCTGTAGCTTAGACCACTCAAAAGACTGAGGTTTAACTCTAAAACTCTTCATGCATTCGCCTACCTCTGTAACCTGATTCAGCTGTAAGCCACTATAGATAAGAGCATCTGCCAAATGCACAAATGTAAAAGGAAGCTTCGAGACAGGCTGGTAAGCTTATATTGCATGGTGTTCAGTTATGAAATGAACAAAACAGCTTCCATTTCTGGAAAGTCTAATGGCCTCGACTTTTTCCTTTGTTGGAGCAGCACTGGGCAGAACAAACTTTCCAGTGCCAGACATCAGATCACGTACATTAACTAGAAGAAAATAAAGTTTATGAGTGTATCAGCTGCAGGCTGCCATCCTGGAAAATGGTCAGGTAACTGCATACAGGAAACACTATGCTACAGTATTAGGTCTTCAGGTCTAGCAAAGAAATTCTTTTCTCCAGGACAAGTAGACTTGTAGACACAGACATAAGCCATGTTTACTTGCAGCCTAATAATCCGTTAATAATCCGACAAATAGCTAAATCGGAATAAATTATGTTAAGTCTGATTGAGGCCATTCGGAATACTACTTCAATATGATTGAACGAGGTGGGTAATCCTGTAAATAATCCGTTAAATAGAAGAATAATATGCTCTGATCTTTAAAAGACGGCGGTGGGACGGACGTCCAGCTTATGTGTCTCAGAACACGACGTCTTCCTCTCGGCCTTCTTTAATAAGGACATGTGAAGGACGTTTTTCTGAGTTTGACATATTTTTAAAGCAATAAAAAACACAAGCACGCCAACTGGAACCTCATTTCACTCTGACTGGACTCACATGGTGTTCACTGTCATGGTAACGTTTACTCTGAGTGGTACTCCACGTATGCGCGTAATTTTGGATCAGATTACTTGTAGTGAGCATGTAAACAAAGATTTTCCATCAGATTGTTGAATAGAGTGAGCATAAACACCTCAGTCTTAACCTGTAGTCGGAATGTATTCAATCAGATTGGCAAAAATCTTTGCATGTAAACACAGCCATAGAGAAGAAAGCATATACACTACTTGCACTATAATATATCCATATATAAACACACAGGCACACAAAAAGTGAAATCAAGTCAAGCCAAGCCAAGAAAATCCTTGAAGCAGTTTCCAGGGTAGACGGGAGAACGGTTTAAAAAAACGCTGTCACTAATAGTTAGTCATGGACTGTGGACTTGCTCCCTACACTTGAAATGCGGAAGAAAAAAAAATAAATAAAACTCACCACTTAGGTGGATACAAGCCTCCTGCCCAAGACTATGTCTCTGCTATGCACTCATGTATAATGAAAGTACTCACTCCAGCT